TTGCTTAGACATTTAAAGGTAAAGATATTAACTAGTAAAATGAGCTTATTCAGCTTTATCCCATAGAGATTTGGATTCTGCCTCGTTCTGCAGTAAAATATGGATTTGATCGCATCTCGCTACTTATGATCCCATGACAATTGTCACAATCGCGGAATAAATGTTATCAGAGTAAAAATGAAAAGGTTTACGTCCTGGTTTATGTGTGGAGGGGCTTCAGAAGAAGAATTGCTCAACAATGTTTACTCTTAAAGATTGTGTGCTTAAATTCCACGACACAACAAACCTGAAAATGAATTATATTTAACTTCATGAGTCCTCATGTACTCAGACGAAATCAAAGAAAGACCAATTCTAAAAACCTTCTAACCATTTTTATGCTGCAACTCTTACGTGATGCCAAATTTGGAAATTCAACAATTAACTACTGCTTGAATGTTAATACAGCTGTACAGTTCGATCCTGTTTGGCAAAAAATAACATCTTAAACTAGCCAAACCTCCTGTTCCAGGGAGAGCTGGAGAAAGTCTCCCTTCCGACTTTCCACAAACTGCGCCAACCAGATTGACAACTAACGATATGGTGAGTGGAGGACACGCGAAAGCCAGCTTGAAACTGACGGATGCTCCAGCAGTAGTCGCCTCTGTAAACAAATTCGGACAATGAGATCTTCACGGCTTGATAAATTAAATGCACCTTGGGATATGATTGGATAATGCAACAGTTCAGTAGCATATACTCCCTTATTGTTCATGGCGACCTGTAGGACTGCTTCAAGCTTTCCGTGTAACTCGAGGCTGCAGGAGAATGCGAAATATATGTCTGAAGTGGAAGGTTAATGCAACATCGTTGTGAAGTGGCGTTAGGGACGAGATGAAGTGCTTTTACGATCAGTGTCGCAACTTATATTCTCCGTGTTTGTTATGACAGGAAAGAAATCAAACTGCAAATGGACTATTTAGCTGGAATTATCAAAGGTTTCCTCAAATCAACTTAAAAGAGCCAGTGTTTGGAGCAGAACTACCGAGCGTAAAATAGTCAACTTGACAAGGGTAAACAAGAATTTGGCCAACTGACTGTCCTGGCAACAGAGTTTGCCTTCATCTCACAGCTGTTGATTGTCCAATCGGATGCATTTCATGAGCGAATGTTCACTATAGTCCAGTAGCGTTAGGGCTATCACAGCCCCCTTTTCTATCCATGGTCAAAAGATAGTAATTCTATCTATTTAAGGCCCGGCTTGGGTGACTGGCAGTCAGTTGGTAAAATTAAGAGAGACAAACGACGAGTTTCCTTGTATCCCAACTCCTGACTCTGGAAGTGCCTCCAATTCATGCGGCGATAGGGATAGTCAAAAAGACGGGAAATGGAAATCCTTTCCTACGGACATTCCCTTAAGATTAAAGTTAAAGAAGTTGGGGAAAGAGGAAAATAAAGAGATCCGTAAGTTTTTATTATACCTTTTCCATCCTTCATCATCCTTTAGTTCGCCTTTCTTCAATTCTATCTTAGTTCACTTTAGTTTTAACAAATAAGCTATGCGCAGAATAGGTCATTGGAAATTGCTCGTGTGTACACTGTGCTTACTTTGCTCTTTGATAGTTGTGAATTGTCTACCTGGTACAGATTTTATTCACTGAGTTCCTTGCAACACGAGTTTCACCGCTGGCTATGGAATTTGTAC